ACCGCTGCGCATGTGTGTACGCCGGGCTGGCCTACCCGACGGGGGCCTCCCAGCAGCACAATTGCTTGACCAGAAGACAGAGATGAGCGTTTTCCCGACTTTAGGCCGACCGCGCCAGCCGCAGCCGGCCTGTGACAGACCGTTTGCAGGTGAGAGGTGAGGGAGTCCTCTCTCACCCGAAAGCGGTGTGTCGCAGGCTGGTTGCGGTCTGGCGCGGTCGGCCTAAAATTGGGAAGCTCATCTCTGCCAGAAGGATCAGTGTTCAAACGGCTTGGCGGTTGAGAAGGGTCCTTCTTCCTCCTCATCCGCCAACCAGTGTTAACTTTACAGTAGCTCACGGCACAGCTTGCCCCGAACGAGGATTAATTTACAGAAGTCAAGGGCAGATAAGGAGTGAAGACACTGATAAAGTAATTGGATTACTATAATGCTCACAACCGAAAGTTGAAACAAGTCAAGAAACAAAAAGTTGTAGAAAATAAACATTCTCATACTAAAAGCAAACATTCTTAAACTTGAAAATAAAATAAAATACGCAGGTCCTAAGAGTCAAAGTCCAAAATCAATACAGTTGTCATATCAAGTAAGTCAATCAGGATTGTTCATTTTCAGAATCGGAGGGAAATAAATCCTTCTTGGCTTTCTTCTTTCTTCCTTCTTCCCTATCGTCATCAGTTAAGATTTCATCTTCATCTCGAATCTCACCGTCAGACTTCTCTCCGCTCTTACTATCGCCCTCATCTTCCTCTCTTAAACTATTCCACTTGATCTGTTTGAAAGAGAATAAATACACTAGTGTTAGGATGATCAGGAGAAATCTTCCTTTTTCATCTTTCTATGAAGAGAGAAGGGAGTAAAGTGGGAAAAATTAAAAGTTTTTTGTTTAGTCAGTCTAAAACCAAAAATATTGTTCCAATTTTAATGGTTTCAGACTGGAAATAAAAAACAAATTTTTCCACTTGACCCTCTCATTTTAAGAGACATAATGTAGAGGTATAACCGAGAAGAACTTACATAGCTTTCCTTAAACTTTTGGGCAAGTGTCGCTCTTCCATTTTTTATTGTAAGTGAGAGTGATTCGGCATCAGTGATGCCCTTCGCCATCATCTTTCCGACATAGATACCTAATAGATAGATAGATGTTAGTTACACGGCAAATTTAAATAATTGGCATTGCAAATTCAAGCAGTTATAATTACCTAAGATTGCTTCTACTTTTTTAGGCGTGGCCTTAACTTTCTGCCTAGTAACTGCTGAGTTAGGGTTGGGACATTTCCCTCCTTCCAAACTTCTAGCGGCCAAGTCATCTAGATCATAAACCTCGTCAGCTAAATCTCTTACTGCTAGTGTGCCTTTACTAGATACTAATTTGTCTTCCCAAATTTCTTTGGAAATATATACTCCATTTCCAATATGAACCTGAAACAGAATTTGTAAAATCAGTCAATTTGTTTTTCAATATGATAGCAGTAATAATTGTGGTAGTTGCAAAATAACTTACTTTATCACCACTGCTACAGAGGGGAGTTTTTCCTTTTATAGCGTCACTTATCATAGGAGCTAATTCCAGAGAAGTCTGATAATCTGGACAATCAAATCAGTATATTACAGGTAAAGAACAACATCAATCCCTTAATTTCACAGATTTAAAGTAATTACCCTTCGGTTTGCTGGCTTCAGCCTGCTTTTTCTTCAACTTTTGACTAGGGCTCATTCTCTTAGCTTTTGGGTTGGCTGCCTTTTTCCCTAAAAATAAACCGCATTTTGTCTAAGAAAATCCTAAATTTAAAACAAGTTAAATGCAAAAATAATAACCTAACATACCTGAGCCAAGCAGCTGATCCTGGAGAACAATTACTTTCTGTGACAGCTCATTGATTTTCTGAGTGTTAGCCTCACTTTCCTTTTGTTTCCGTTTCAATTTTCTCCTGAGCTGGACACATTCTCCACATTCTTGTTGAAGTATATCTATAGGATCACTATTAGGGTGCAAGTTATCCTGCAACAAAAAGATTAAGTTGAATTCAAGTCTCAATCACTGCACTCATTAAAAAAAAATAAAAGCAGCAACAAATAGCTCACACTGAGAGGGGGGTCCTCTAGACGTTTCCCCATGTTCTTGTCCTCAAATTTATCATCACTAGGAACTTTTAAAGGTGTCCTCTCTTGAGTTGGCTGATCCTACAAAAAAATGTGACATATCAAATTTGGCAGAACTTAAACTATACCATGTAAAGAGATAGAACAGTTGAAAAGTTCACAAGCAATAGGCAGAAGACCATAAAATAAATTAACACACAGAAAAAGTAACAAATTCTAACTCACCTCAATAAGAGTTTCAATCGGTTCAGGGCTTACATTTTTTGGTGATGTTCGGATTATCTTAGAAGAGCTTGAAGCAGGTTCTCTCAAACTAGTAGTGCTAGATCGTAAAGGCCTGGTAGTCTGTAACAAAAGCAGACAGTTAGTGACCAATACACTTGTCTTATGCACACTCTGAACATTTGTAAAGGATTACCTTGGGTTTCAGCCTTTCAGTTTTTTCCAAAGAGTGAGCAGATTCATTGGTTCGGATTCCCTTATCTTTGGGTTTCTTTCCATCATTAAGACCAGGGATACTTAGGCCTGCGGACTGGCTCTTAGGATCCTGCAATGAATTACATTCAATATATGAGGTATAGCTTTGCGTAAGTTTGAGATGAATATGAATCGAAGCATAACTTAAGTAATTGACCCCATCCCTGCCCAACTATTGTGCTCTTCCTCTTCGCTGGCTGGACATACCTTTCTGGACCTGGGGGCCTTTTCCGCTTCCTTTGCTCTACGCTCTCTCATCAACTCACTGAGTAAGTTTTGTGGCATTTTCAGCTTATCTCTCACAACTTTGTAGTGCATATCTTCATAACTCTCTGAAACAAAAGTTTAAAAATTAGCAAAGTTCTTTTATCATTTACTGTAGGTGGACTTAGATATGAAAAGGTTGGTGAAATTTAAAGTCAGCCCGTTATTTGCAGCAAATCAGAGCATTTAGAATGAACAGAAAAAATAATAATGTGGCTTTACTATTCTCTGGTTTCACTAGATTTGAACTTGATCAATAGTTTATGAAGCAGAGGGAATGCCAAAGTCAAATATCATCATGCACCAAATTTGGAACCGAAAATGAAAAGTTACTAGTGTACAAACATTAAATGCTGGACCTAGTCTCTAGAGGCGAAGCCTGAAATTGGGTCTTCACCTCAGTTGAGGCCCGCGGACTCAAGATTTCGAAGACTCTGATAGGGTTGCCTAGGCTTGAGCCAATCAGCCTTCACAATCTTTGAGTCCTAGGCCTCAGGTGGGGTTAGGACTGAAATACGGGCCTCACCGCAATGATACAAAATCCACCATTAGTTGTTGCGAGCTCACACAAATCCGACTCAAATGCAGTACAAAACATTTAGTTTACTAATGACAAACATAACCTGCAATCGAACGTACCAGAAGAACGCTAACCAACCGTCAACCGAGCCGTCAACAGATTTGAAAAACTACTGGCAATTCAGCCAAAGATTACTCTACTAACCTGCAAGGATCACTATGATGGCATCATAATAGTCCATTGAAACACCACCACTTCCATCCTTCGGCAAAAGAGGCCACAGTACTCTATACTTCCCCTCATCAACAAAGTCATCAACATGACTCGGAGAGAAGTCCTCAATATCTGTAACTGGACAGACATGCCTCACTCCGTCCTCAGTGAAGTGCACGTAAGCTAACATGTTGTCGATAAATAGAAGCGGATAAACAGTAAATTTTCACAGCAAACACAATCTCAAGCTCCACCAGCCCCGCTCACTCCGCTCCGCTCCCGCCGGCCGGTCGAGACGTGCACGGCTGGCTCACTGGCGGTTGGCGGAAGGATACATACATGCCAGCGCCGCCGCCGGGCCGACACCGCGCAGCGCGCCGCCCGACGGGGGAGCGGCGGAAGAAAAGTAGTGCAAGCGAATTGCTTCACTACCGAAGATCTTTAAGGACCGTGCCAATTAAATTAATTGAAATTAATTGAAGTATGCTATTCCGCATAACGGACAAAGAAGAACAGCACGAAAAAAAAGTAGCCTGTGATTCGTCAACCGGCCTCCCCATCCACCTGACCGACGAATCACAGGTCTCTTTCTTCGCACTGTTCTTCTTTTCCCATTCTCCGACTCCAAAATAGCTCATAAAGAACATGCACACAAGTTTTGCACGTTTAAGATGATTTAGGACCACCTCTTGGGACGGGTGGGTGCGGCCGCTGCACTCGAGCTGCTCTGGTGTGTACCCGAGGCCAGGCCGAGCCCGCCGCCCCCGTCGCCCTCATGATGTGCAGCAGGAGCAGGCCGCGGGCGCCCTCCGCACCTCCAGCTGCACTGCTGGGTGCTGGAGGCCAGGCCGAGCCCGCCTCCCCCGTCGCCCTCATGATGTGCAGCAGGAGCAGGCCGCGGGCGCCCACCGCACCTCCAGCTGCACTGCTGG